GCTTGAGCCCAGGAGTTGGAGGTTGCTGTGAGCTGAGATGCCACAGCACTCTACCCAGGGGGACAGCTTGAGGCTCCTGTCTCAAAAAAAAAAAAAAAAAATCTGCTCACTAAGCATTTCTTATGAAAATAGCTTTATATGGGGCAGCACCTGTGGCTCAGTGGGTAGGATGCCGGCCCCATATACTGAGGGTGGCAGGTTCGAACCCAGCCCCAGCCAAAATGCAACAAAAAATAGCTGGGCGTTGGTGGCAGGCACCTGTAGTCCCAGCTACTCAGGAGGCTGAGGCAAGTAAATCGCCTAAGTCCAGGAGTTGGAGGTTGATGTGAACTGTGACACCACAGCACTCTACCGAGGGCAACAAAATAAAACTTTTGTCTAAAGAAAAGAAAAGAAAAAATAGCTTTATATGATCATATATAGTCATTACATTTCAGCATGCTTTTCTGCCTTGTATTATGTTGATTTGTGTGCTTTTGTCTTCTCCCCAACTATTAGGATTTTAAAATGTAGAGAGCAAGAATAAATTTATTTACTTTTAGGTGTACACAGTGCCTCATACACACAGTGAGTGTTCCGTGAATGTGAGTGCTCAAAAATTAAATGTATTGATTTAATTAGATTTTATTATTGTTTTATAGACATCAACTAGTCAGGCAGTTTTCCGTCTCCAGTCTGGCATCTGCCATCTCTTCCGAGAAACTTTAATTAACAAAGGTTTTGTGGAAATCCAAACTCCTAAAATTATTTCAGGTATGCTTCAAAATATTTCCTTTAACTTTTAAAAAGAAATTGACTTTCTCAAAGCTGGTTAAATTAATTTTTTTAACTTGGGATCCCCATGTGTCCCTTAGGGTTTATTGCTTTAGACTGCTTATTTCAAAGTTCACACTGTGTGACAGTCACATATCACCAACGTCAGTAATACTACATCTCCTTATTCCAGGAATCATTTTGTGATAATAATTGTAAAAGGAGGCAATAACACATGAAGCCATACTCTTACTACATAAATTAAACCAGGAACTACTTTCGTCTTATAGGTTTCTTTTGAAATTGGTATTGCAATTTTCTTTTTTTTTTTTTTCTTCTTTTTTTTGAGACAGAGTCTCACTATGTTGCCCTGGGTAGAGTACTGTGGAATCACAGCTCACAGCAACCTAACTCTTGGGCTTAAGCGATTCTCTTGCTTCACCCTCCCAAGTAGCTGGTACTACAGGCACCCACCACAATGCCCAGCTATTTTTCTTTTGTTGCAGTTGTCATTGTTATGTATCTGGCCTGGGCTGGGTTCAAACCCACCAGCCTCGGTGTATGTGGCTGGCACTTGTAACCACTGTGCTAGGGGTGCCACACCTGCAATTTTCTTTGTACAAACTGCATTGTAAAATCACTAAGTACTACTGATGGGAAGATATCATTAATCTTTTTTTCTTTTCTTTTTGAGACAGAGTCTGCTTTGTTACCCAGGCAGGAGAGTAGTAGCATGAGCTCACTGCAACTTCAAACTCCTGGGCTCTGGTGATCCACCTGCCTCAGCCTCCAAAGTAGCTCTATAGGCATGCACTGCCATGCCTAGCTAATTTTTCTAATTTTTGTAGAAACAGGGTCTCACTGCTCAAGCTGGTCTAAAACTCCTGACCTAAAATGATCTTCCTGCTTAGGCCTCCCAAGATGCTGGGATTACAAATGTAAATCACATGCCTAGCCAAATTCTTATTCTTTTTTTTTTTTTTTTTTTTTACCCTTGGAAGAGTGCTATGGTATAGCTCTCAGCAACCTCAAACTCTTGGGCTGAAGCAGTTCTCTTGCTCAGGCTGGTCTTGAACCTCTGAGTTCAGGCAATCCTTGGCCTCCCACAGTCCTAGGATTACAGGTGCAAATTCTTATTCTTATATGAGAATCCTGATCATTTTTCCCTTTTAGAGTTGGTTAATTAACACTAAAAAGAGTGTTACAAATGGCATTTAGTTAGAAAAATAGTTGAACATTGCATTCTTGATAATTAGAAAAATGATTAAGAATTATTTTTCTTTTTCTAATTTTTACAACTCTGAAGTAGGTTTAAAATTTATGTAGAAAGGGAGCGTGTACATCCAATATATCCAAAGAAGGAAAATGAAAGCATATCCCAAGAAATAAACCTAGCTTAAATATAAACTATTTAGAATCACATATAAGAGGATATAGATAGACTACAATTTAGCTGCAGTTTTTAATTTTTCAGTTTTTCCTTTCTTTAGAGTGAACTACAGTAGAACCTCTGTAGTTGACCACCTCCTTAAGTTGGCCTAATTTTCATAGACCAGACATGCACCACATGTATGTATCTACACAGTAGGCCTAGTTCTTTATGTTGACCATTTTGTTACTGTCTGTTGGGTGGTCAGTTGACCTAGGTTCCACTGTACTGTTTTAACTAAAAGTTTGCATGAGGAGCTTACAATTGATTATATTTATAAATGGTTACATTTCAGCTGCCAGTGAAGGAGGAGCCAATGTCTTTACTGTGTCATATTTTAAAAATAATGCATACCTGGCTCAGTCCCCACAGCTGTATAAGCAGATGTGTATTTGTGCTGATTTTGAGAAGGTTTTCTGTATTGGACCAGGTAAGATTTTGGCAGTTATGTTTTTTTCCAAGTTCACTAATTGTACAGTAATTAAAGCTTTAGAAACACATTTTACATATATAATGTAGAGGCATTTTGAAAGCTTAAATTTTTGTATATGCTGACTACACAAAAACTATACTTGGAAGTAGAAATGGCAATGGATTTAGATAGACATTTTTTAGAAGAAATAGTAGAACTCAATAGTTCTTTAAACAGTTAAGTATCATTCATGTGAATAGAATCATAAGTATTATATACTCCTTGCAGAAGAATGCTAAAGAAAATTTTTTAAAATGCATGATTGGAAAATATATACCATCCAAAATATACCTAAGTATATCATTTACTATATCCAAGTACAGTTACAACAGAACTAATTCCCATTTGGACCATCCTTTCAAGTCCCCATCAGTACTAAAGACAGTTGGAGTCTTCAAAATAATTTTTTTTTTTTTTTTAACACAGCGTCTCGCTTTGTCACCCTTGGTAGAGTGCCATAGCATCATAGCTCACATAGGAACCTCAAACTCTTGAGCTTAAGTGATTCTCTTGCCCCTCCCAAGAAGCTGAGACTACAAGTGCCCGCCACACTACCCAGCTATTTTTAGAGACGGGGTCTTGCTCTAGTTCAGGCAATCTTAAACTCCTGAGCTTAAACTCCTGAGCAGTCCATCCACCTTGCCCTCCCAGAGTTGGACACCGTGCCCAGCCAACTAAAATAATGTATTTTTGTTGTCCTTTATAACACCTTACTATTGTAAATTTATGATATACCTCTGTCTGCTTTGCTACCAATTATATTCCAGAGCTCTTCTGTTTCACTATTAGTGTTTGTGCTGTCCTTACCATTGGTGATAGGCTAAATTCCATTAGAAATTAATGAATCGGCTCGGCACCTGTGGCTCAAGCGGCTAAGGCGCCAGCCACATACACCTAAGGTGGCGGG